TATGTGTTATATTACTGTAAATTGACGAGATCAGTGACAAGAGACGTCACATAAAAAGTGTGTCAGGTATATACACACTGTCGTTTATGTGTAGTGACAAGAGACGTGATATACAATGTGTCAGGTATATACACACTGTCGTCTATATGTTGTATTACGGTAAATTGACGAGACGATCAGTGACAAGAGACGTGATATAAAATGTGTGTCAGGTATATACACACTGTCGTTTATGTGTAGTGACAAGAGACGTGATATACAATGTGTCAGGTATATACACACTGTCGTCTATATGTTGTATTACGGTAAATTAATTGATCAGTGACAAGAGACGTCATATAAAAAGTGTGTCAGGTATATACACATTGTCGTTTATGTGTTGTATTACGGTAAATTGATTGATCAGTGACAAGAGACGTGATATAAAAAGTGTGTCAGGTATATACACACTGTCGTTTATGTGTTATATTACGGTAAATTGACGAGATCAGTGACAAGAGACGTGATATAAAATGTGTGTCAGGTATATACACACTGTCGTCTATGTGTAGTGACAAGAGACGTGATATACAATGTGTGTCAGGTATATACACACTGTCGTCTATATGTTGTATTACGGTAAATTGACGAGATCAGTGACAAGAGACGTGATATACAATGTGTGTCAGGTATATACACACTGTCGTCTATGTGTTGTATTACTGTAAATTGACGAGATCAGTGACAAGAGACGTCACATAAAAAGTGTGTCAGGTATATACACACTGTCGTTTATGTGTTGTATTACGGTAAATTGACGAGATCAGTGACAAGAGACGTGATATACAATGTGTGTCAGGTATATACACACTGTCGTCTATATGTTGTATTACGGTAGATTGACGAGACGATCAGTGACAAGAGACGTGATATAAAATGTGTGTCAGGTATATACACACTGTCGTTTATGTGTAGTGACAAGAGACGTGATATACAATGTGTCAGGTATATACACACTGTCGTCTATATGTTGTATTACGGTAAATTGACGAGACGATCAGTGACAAGAGACGTGATATACAATGTGTGTCAGGTATATACACACTGTCGTCTATGTGTAGTGACAAGAGACGTGATATACAATGTGTGTCAGGTATATACACACTGTCGTTTATGTGTTGTATTACGGTAAATTGACGAGACGATCAGTGACAAGAGACGTGATATAAAATGTGTGTCAGGTATATACACACTGTCGTTTATGTGTAGTGACAAGAGACGTGATATACAATGTGTGTCAGGTATATACACACTGTCGTCTATATGTTGTATTACGGTAAATTGACGAGACGATCAGTGACAAGAGACGTGATATAAAATGTGTGTCAGGTATATACACACTGTCGTCTATGTGTAGTGACAAGAGACGTGATATACAATGTGTCAGGTATATACACACTGTCGTCTATATGTTGTATTACGGTAAATTGACGAGACGATCAGTGACAAGAGACGTCACATAAAAAGTGTGTCAGGTATATACACACTGTCGTTTATGTGTTGTATTACGGTAAATTGACGAGACGATCAGTGACAAGAGACGTGATATAAAATGTGTGTCAGGTATATACACACTGTCGTTTATGTGTTGTATTACGGTAAATTGACGAGATCAGTGACAAGAGCCGTGATATAAAATGTGTGTCAGGTATATACACACTGTCGTTTATGTGTTGTATTACGGTAAATTGACGAGACGATCAGTGACAAGAGACGTGATATAAAATGTGTGTCAGGTATATACACACTGTCGTTTATAGGTGTCTCATTATTTCATGGATTAAATTTTTGCGATCACTTTAATGTACCGCGTAATAGCAAAAAAGCTCGTCCCTGCGAAAAAAAAAACGAGAAAATGGTATATATTTTTTGTATCACATTCTTATCCATTTAAACAACTTTTCTGATGAGACAAACTCGCAACTGAGACAATTTGTGAAAAAATTACCAGAGAACAGTTTTGAATGAAGGCTCTCTTTACACGTCGTTGTAGATTAAAAGCAACGACACTCTTATCTCAGGTAAGGATCTAACTCGGCAGATCCGGTTAACTAAATCATGTCACTGAATGACTTCAAGACATTTTCTTTATTGTCATTATTATTATGATTTTGTGTGTAGCCCAAAAAGTCATAAGAACAAACTTTTGAAAGCTACCATTGAATATGTCCCAGTTTTATCCGAAGTACAACATATCTGCTCTGCTGAAAAGCATGCACAGTTTTCAACCAATATTTCAGGAAATACTTAAAAGCTTAACTGCAAAATGCTATTAATTGTTCAACATTGTTCATATACTGTAGCTTATGTGATTATAGGTGTCACATATAATGGAGAAAACTGAAAGAAAATGAAAATTCCCTGCATCCTACTGGTTTCGGATTCTCAGTCGATAACATAATGTTGATAAAATATGTGATACTATTTCCACAGCAAACACATTGCACAATAACACACAGGGATTGATAAAACTATATGTTATGTCTACTTAGATAATATATATGAACAAGCAAATTTTGAATTTCTATGGGCATACACGCGATTGGTGTACACCTGATTTTTCCCTGCAAAACATTACTGATTATGTACCTTTCGTATTGCAACCAGTAACGGTAAAATTTGGTACATTTTCATTAATCAAATTGTGTTGATCTAATCAGTCTTTATCAAAAGGGTTCTTCGTTGGAAGGTATTATTTTTAACTAAGTAACTTTCTTGACACTGACCAGCCCATTCACTCCTTCTCATATTCCGTCATATTGGCTTCTATTATTGCAAAGTGCGCGTTTAGTTACTAAACGTCGCGCGAGGTACAAATCTTGGTTACCGTGCTCCCAGAGCACATCCTCAGAAAGCTTGATTATTACGAATTTAATTATGTTCTCACCGGAACACAGACTTGAGCACAAGCACAAAAGTTGAGCTTTAGCAAGGGAACGGCTTCGTGATTATGAGCCCATAAGGTCGGTATCTATTGCATAATGAGCTTCGCTGCTACCATTTTGATATATCCCCTCAACACCAAATTTAAATATATATCAGTGTTACAGGTCTACGTGTGCGTGTTTATCATTATTTCATAATAGTATCTATGGAATCAGATGAGATCAGAAGGGAATCTCCAAGGTTGGTCAGAATCGCTAGCTAAATGAAATGAAAATTGTATTGGTTAATTCCGAGTCGCCGCAGATAAAATATTTTAAAATAAAACAATCGAGCACAGGACAAGTAAGCAGACACGTGTATGTGCACATGCATCCTTAAAAATTCATATTGAGACTTGCTGCGTATATATAAGTAAACGCCGTGTAACCTAAAAAGATTCTTTTAAATGATATAATTTAATGTTACATTATTTCATTCATTTTTGTATACAATTTCATCTGTTTGGAACCATTTGTTGAAGGTTCTATCGATTATCAATGCTAATTATGCCAAAAATATCCCCCTTTTAGCGATGACCCTACTTGTATTGCGCAACGCGGCCGGACATTTCAGTATCTTGTGTGTCCTCCATGCGCAGCTGTCGCAGCCCTGATTCTTCTATGCATGGAATTCATCAGGGTGTTAACCCTTGCAATGGGGATGTTATTCCATTCTTCATGCAAAGCACGTGTGAGCTGGACCAGATTAGTGGGGGCATTTGGACGTCTCCTAACTCTCCTATCCAATTCGTCCCACAAATGCTCAATTGAAGACAAATCTGGACTGAATGCTGGCCAATCGATTGGGATTACGTTATTGTTGGCAAGAAATTGCTGACAAACTCTAGCGACATGGGTCCGGGCATTGTCTTGCTGGAATATCAGGTTCCGTGCTTGCACACATGGCACGGCAACTGGGCGAAGGAGTTCGTCTCTATACCTTACGCCGGTTAAATTACCGTCAATCACGATCAGGGGTGATTTAAACCCATAGCGTCGGTGTAACGTTCCCCTCGACATCGATATACACGACGTCGCCCGTCCGAACGGTAGAGAGTGAACCGGGATTCGTCAGTGAAGAATACCCGTCTCCATTGCCTCATAGGAAAATTTCTGGGCGAGTGTGCTTGTAACCAAGCCAATCGGCGTTGGCGACGCGCAGGAGTTAGGGGCAGACCAACATAGGGACGTCGGGCTCTTAGGCCATTGACGCGTAATCGGTTTCGAACCGTATCAGGATGAATATGGCGGTTATGACTGCCTATAGTGTTATTTGCTGTTTCGGTAGCTGTGAGATGGCGATTACGTAAGTGAGAAAGTCTTATAAACCGATCCTGATGTGGCGTCGTGACGCGCGGACGTCCACTTCGCGGTCGGTCGATGACCCTCCCCGTCACTCGCACACGTTGGACAAGACGTTGAATTGTCCGAATATGCACACCAAAATGTGCAGCAACCTGAAGTTGGCCCTGACCCTGCAAAAGCATTCCTATAGCCTGTCCCCGCTGGACTTCTGTCAATCGTGGCATGGATGTAAATTGCTTAATTCGAATCAAACTTTGAAAAATCAATCCGAATACTTGAACAGTATCAAATAGACTGAAAATTTCCATTGGCGAACTCAATGACCTTCCCCTGCACGGGATTCTTGTATTTTAGCACGTCTCTCGCACGGAGCGCGGAGGTCAGGTATTGTGTGATTTTAAACACGTGTACCTAGTGACCGCGAACAACACATCAACCTGACCGAGTGTCATTATTCTAGGCCAAGCAATAAATCATTTGTAGTATATTTAGTGTACCCAGCGTTTCTTTTTCGTGTTAGTATAAATATATATAGTTAAAACGTCCGGTTAATAGGAAGTGTTAGAGAACATTGTAAAGACGACACTTAAGTGTTTCCTGAATTAATCTGGACAAGGAAATGTTTGTATTAAAACATACGAAGTGGATAAAAAATAACGCATCCATGTTAACAGTATCATACATGTATGTGGTATAGAACAAGCAATGGCAAGTCAGAATGAAACTCATGTACTCAACACGTGCGTTTGGTGTGATAGTAAAGAGGACGTCAACTGGTACTGTAATGACTGTCAGGAGGCTTTATGTGGCCGCTGTATGGAGGGTCATAAACGCGGAAAGAAGACACGGAATGACAAAGTCGTACCGATAAAACAGGCGGACAGACACAACGATAAGGTAGTACCAGAGGTATGTAAGACACATCCCGGTAAAACATGTGATCTGTTCTGTACCGAATGTAAAGTCGTAATGTGTTCAATGTGTTTTACCAAAAAACATAAACAACATGCATTCAAGCATTTAGAAGAAGAACTTGATTCAAGCAGGCAGTACATACGAGACCAATTGAAAACCTTAAAGGCAAAACTGAATAACTCCAATAGCAAGATATCGAAGCGCCAAAGAGCAAGCATAAAACTCAAACACAGCGTCAAAATTATAAGGGAAGATGTCCAAGCTCGCGGTACAAAACTAAAAACAGAAGTTGATTCAGTCGTTAAATCTGTCTTAAAAGAATTATCTTTACTGGCTGATGAGGAAGAAAAACTCTTGACAAAGGACTGTCAATCTGAGGAGAAAAACATCAAAGACATAAAACAGCTGATTAAAGATGTGGAGCAACAGTCCAAAAGGACGTCCAGACAAACGTTGCTTGACTTGATGGGGAGGTTGAGAACCGCTGTACAGCGTTATGACGATGAAGGGAAGATTGCATCACCACAATTTCCAAGCTATGTTGCCGGGAAAATCGATACTGAACAGTTGAAAACAATGATTGGACAAATTCAGGTCGGACATGAGCGGAGTGATGTGATCCCATTTAAGAAGGAAGAAGTTGATAATTTAAGTGTTCAAAAACTTTGTACATTCCAGGCCAAAGAACAGAGTTATATAATGTCAATTTGTCCTATTGACGGCAATTATTCATGGATATCACAAATGGGGTTTCATGATTTGTTCCGAACCAACAAATTGGGAAAGACAAGAGAGTCTATTAAGCTTGGTTTTAAACCTGAGAGTCTGGCTTTGACCAACACAGCAGAACTACTCATGACTTGTCAGGATGGTTCGCCTCTGATCTACAAATTATCTCATAACAGACAGGTGACGATCTTTGCCGATATAAGTCCACTGAAGGCTTGGAATATCACTGTGAGTGAAAATGACGAGGTATTCGTTAGCACTGACACGACAACAATACTGGCATTGAACACATCAGGGCACAAAATCAAGCAGCTGTCGTGTGGACAGGAAAGGAGCCGTGTCGTTTGTCTGACTGCAGGGAATGTTGCTGTTAGCACAGGTCAAGGCTTAAAATGTGAAGAATTGAATATCGTGGACCAATCAGGTCAAATCACACACAAATGGAGCGGGGATCTAGAAAATGGTGAAAAGATAAAAGAAACGGACCAATACAGTATTGCGAGTGATAAAAGTGGCAGAATTTTTGTACCAGACGTACTCACTAACCAGGTATACGTCTTACAGGGAAATGAGATGAAGGCAAAGTGTCTCCTGGACAAGACGTGTGAAATTGCCCATCCGTGGACTGTGAGTGTAGACAGGTGTGGACATGCTTGGATAGGTTGTAGTGATGGTACAATACATGTGGTACAACTATAATAAAGTTAAGATAGACTTCCCTCTCATTTATTAGCTTCTGTAGAGAAAATGCAATATATTTTTTAAAAAAGTACAAAATTATCTAATAATTTTCGCATTTGAGATTAAACTATCATCCCACAACAGCAATATTTTCCAAAAACTACTTCAAGTGGTCTGTAATTATTTATCAGCTAAAATTGTTAATTAGAAAAAAATTATTCCCAATAGTATGCATAGAACTCTATTCAATGATATCTCCTTCAATTAATTTTTTATTGGTTAAGTACCTTTTAATTGATTTTACTTGAAAATGACTTTTATTGGGTTTTTGTTTTGTTTATAATGTTAAGAATAAGTCATGTTACACCGACAGTAGGACATAATAAACATGTACCATTAAATAAAACAAAGCCTTCTCTCTGTTATAAATACGATGAATTTTCGTCAACATAAGTACGAAATGACAGCCATCCAAAATATGAGAAATATAAAAAAAAATCCTTAAACACGCCTGAGATAATCTGAAATGACAGCAAGAAACTTTTTTTATGAATATTCAAATATACCGCCCAAATAAGAGGCAAATACTATCCAGTGTGATAACAATCATTTGAGGGTCGACCATTCATGTGTCGAGGGTGACGAACTAAGTTACATTCACGTGTCGACAGTCACGAACTAAGGTAGCAGTAAACAGTTAATTTGCATTTTTCCTGAAATTATTTGTCATGTTTGAGATATACAGGTATAGCAGATTGGTTATGAAAAATACATCATTACATGTATATAAATTTATAAACTACATAACAATTACATTAACATTAGAGAGATGAAATTTGAGTAAAAAAAAAATTTCTCTGATTTCTGACATTTGATTGTCATGGTTACCTACTGATAAAATGCTAAAAATGCAAAAATACTGCTAATTCCAACCCAACGCTACAACTTTCTAGGAGAAATTTAATTCTAAACACCTATCTTACAATCAACAACACTGTCATGGTAACAAAGTACTTACATTTCAGCAAATTCCAACTCGGAAATTCTTCATAACATGACCACATGTAAACACTATGAAAATTTCACTTCCTGTAAAGCTAGTTTTTGGTGCGTAGACACAGATTCGAGACTGCCCAAATAGTAATCTCCAACACAAAGCAAAAATATTATCCTGAAAAAAATGAAAACCAACATTGTCCCCTTTAACATGACAGGACCAATTTTAGCAAGGATTTTTTTTTTCATTTTTAATTAAAACCTTTATAATGGGGTAATCTAATGAGCAAAAAAATCACCCATGGCCACACCGAGAAACTGTGTACTGCTTCCTGTAACTCAATGTCACAACACTGCTCTGCACGAGATTTCCCGTTTCGTGCTTTCCCCCGAAGACATCGTCACGCAATACAATAATGCAAAATTTGTACACAAGATCATGTGCACTTTAACCTAGAGTTGCCTGGCCGATTTTCATTGGTTTTGAACAACATTTTCGCACGGACCTGTTATACTAATGATACAACTGAACGTGCATGATCAAAATACAGTACGGACAGTACCTGTTATAGTACTGATACGTCTGAACGTGTATGATCACGGTAACAGCACGGACAGTACCTATTATAGTAATGATACGTCTGAACGTGCATGATCGCGGAAACAGCATGGACAGTACCTAATATAGTACTGATACGTCTGAACGTGCATGATCGCGGAAACAGCACAGACAGTACCTATTATAGCACTGATACGTCTGAACGTGCATGATCGCGGACACCGCACGGACAGTACCTGTTATAGCTCTGATACGTCTGAACGTGCATGATCGCGGAAACAGCACGGACAGTACCTGTTATAGCACTGATACGTCTGAACGTGCATGATCGCGGAAACAGCACGGACAGTACCTGTTATAGCACTGATACGTCTGAACGTGCATGATCGCGGAAACAGCACGGACAGTACCTGTTATAGTACTGATACGTCTGAACGTACATGATCGCGGAAACAGCACGGACAGTACCTGTTATAGTAATGATACGTCTGAACGTGCATGATCGCGGAAACAGTCCAGGGTCAATCCTGATCTTCACTTGGAACACGTCGGATGTTATCATTCAAAAATCTCTCTATCGCTATCCAAAAATGGAAGAAAATCATATAATGGATTTCGAAATTATTACGCTTTTCATACAGCTTAGTGGAAAGCTGTTCATGTTGGTTTCAATGTAGAAGATCGTGATAAGTGGCTGATGTAGGAGAGGCTGTGGTATATTTGATTTCCGATTCTGGTAAATAGATTAACAGTCATCACCTTAATTGTATTTTTTCAATATCTGTTCATGTCAACGAATTCGTTTTGGAAATATATAGCAAAAAAGAGGATATGAAGACAAAACAAACGTTTGTTACCTTCTCCAAATGGGTAGAATGAGGTAATTTATATATGAATATTCATAAAAAGATTTCTTGCTCTTGTTGGTCAGAAGTGGTCATCTAAGGCATGTATTATGATGTTTTCATTTTCTCTCTGATTCTTGATGGTCAGTAATTAGTGGTCATTTTACGAGAGTTGCAAGTGGTTTCCTCAACATTAACATTATATTTAATCAAATAAATGTCCACTCCAACATTTTATAATTTTGTTGACGAACATTCACATTATAGATTACAAGAAGAATACTTCGTTTTCCGTAACTTTTTTTGCTTTTGGAAACAGAAATTTGTTTAATCTGCAAAGTAGAAAAAACAAAAATTGTGTGTACCTTGACTTTTTATCTATGAATAAAGAACTGCTGAGAAGGTTTTGATAGATAGTAGATATTAAACATTAGTAGCATTTGGTAAGTAAAGAGATTTGGACGTGTACATGAACTTGAGGTGTGTTATCGGTTTCTTTATTCAAGTGTATTCCAGTGTTTATCATATTACTTGCTTCTTGGTGTTGTATTTTTCTAAAAGTTGAAGCAAATCGTGTTGATAAAGTTTCATACCTCTACTCCATTTGGAGGAGAAGTATGAATAGTAATCGCATTCTCTTGATATCCGTCTCAGGCAAAACAATGTGAACCTCCTCTTAAACCGTTCTTCAGTGTTATGTTATGAAAAATCATTTTATGTCCTGGTTACACGGTTTAAAGATTTTAGCTTTCTAGAAATTAAAGGCATGAATATAAAGACATGTTGGAGTACAATGATATCGAATTATAAATACTGGCAACATGCCAAAATATTTCTCATTATAATACTAGGTGAAATATGGAACATCTAGTTTTCAATACTATATTCAACGATAACGGAAAAATAGGCGTGACGTAAAATTCGAAAATTACTCTCATATAAAACAAAACTTTTGATTTCTAAACTTTTATATTTCGAGAAAATGACGATGTTAGAAAGCTTATTGTTCCAAATAGCTGTCTTTCTTACAAATGTGAGAACAAGTATCCTTCCGGTTTACCATTGACAACGGTCTAATGTAATGTTGTTTCCGTCTCAAATCAAATTCCCTTTAACAGGATTTTTGTGTGCGGCATCTTTTTATTATACTTCTTTACATCGAGCTATCTTCTAGTTTATGGTATATTCGTGTTTAGCAAGACAATAAACCTGTGATATTTACCTAAAAGAGGACTCCACATTATACGTATCAAATTTCCACTAACATTGTTAATATGCATTTTATATTATGATTACTGACAATGAAAACTATAAGGAGCAAAGTGAAAAGTCGAGATTGACATACTTACATAGAATGGGGGAAAAAAGTATTTAGAAATATTGTTTCGTCAGTGACACTTTGCAAATATGAATTGTTACTTCGTCAGCGACGCGCGACAAACATAAACGTTACTTTGTCAGCGGCACTCCATTCATGAATGTCGCTTCCTCATCGACATTCGGCAATCATAAAAGTTACATCGTCAACGATACTCGGCAAACATCAATGCTACGTTGTCAACGATACTCGGCAAACATCAATGTTACGTTGTCGACGATACTCGGCAAACATCAATGTGACGTTGTTAAAAATACTCAGCAAACACCAATACTACGTAGTCAACGATACTCGGCAAACATCATTGTTACGTTGTCAACGATACTCGGCAAACATCAATGCTACGTTGTCAACGATACTCTCGGCAAACATCAATGTTACCTTGTCAACGATATTCGGCAAACATCAATGTTACCTTGTCAACGATACTCGGCAAACACCAATGCTACGTTGTCAACGATACTCGGCAAACATCAATGTTACGTTGTCAACGATACTCGGCAAACATCATTGTTACGTTGTCAGCGATACTCGGCAAACATCAATGCTACGTTGTCAACGATACTCTCGGCAAACACCAATGTTACCTTGTCAACGATACTCGGCAAACACCAATGCTACGTTGTCAACGATACTCGGCAAACATCAATGTTACGTTGTCAACGATACTCGGCAAACATCAATGTTACTTCGTCAGCGGTACTCAATACATGAATGTTATTCGTCAGTGGTACTCGACACGACAAATTAATGTTATTCCGTCAGTGGTACTCGACACGTGATTGTTATTTCGTCAGCGGTACTCAATACATGAGTTTTACTCCGTCAGCTGTACTCGACACATGAATGTTATTCGTCAGCGGCACTCGACACGACAAATTAATGTTATTCCGTCAGTGGTACTCGACACGTGATTGTTATTTCGTCAGCGGTACTCGACACGACAAATTAATGTTATTCCGTCAGTGGTACTCGACACGTGATTGTTTTTTTGTCAGCGGTACTCGACACGACAAATTAATGTTATTCCGTCAGTGGTACTCGATACGTGATTGTTATTTCGTCAGCGGTACACCACACGACACATGACTGTTACTCCGTCAGTGGTACTCGATACGTGATTGTTATTTCGTCAGCGGTACACCACACGACAAATGACTGTTACTCCGTCAGTGGTACTCGACACGTGATTGTTATTTCGTCAGCGGTACTCGACACGACAAATTAATGTTATTCCGTCAGTGGTACTCGATACGTGATTGTTATTTCGTCAGCGGTACACCACACGACACATGACTGTTACTCCGTCAGTGGTACTCGACACGTGATTGTTGTTTCGTCAGCGGTACACCACACGACACATGACTGTTACTCATTCAGTGGTACTCGACACGTGAATGTTATTTCTTCAGCGACTTCAACATCTTGTGAATAAATCACCCGCTAAAAATAGCTCAAAAATCGAATCCTCAATAGGGTTGCATCGGTTACCTTGTATTCAATTTCACATCTTTGACTTCAACAAATGTGACCAGTGACCACTTGAATATGAGCCAATTTATGTTAAATTCTTTACCCACACTGTGTCGGGGTTTATCTTAGGAAATTAAGGTCATATAACATGTTTCTTTGTCTTTCGCTTAATCAGAAGAAATCGGTTTTAAAATTGATCACTGTGACCTTGAATATTGGTCATGACTATTTCTTATTGCACGCTTGCATCGATCTTAATATTTTGTGAAGGTGTTTGCGGGATTGGTCGCGGTCAAATGATGCCAACTGGAGGGTTACACAGGTAACTCAATTGTTAAGGTGATTGACATAACGAACGATACGCGATGATGAAGATACTGTTACAGACGCATACGATACTAACCTTAGAGTTAGTGAGGTCTCGTGGTCACGTCAAACCTAAATCATGGTTCTGTTGATAATTGATCCGAAGTCACCTCGACTTGATATCGATCAAATTTAAAGAGGTTTTCCTGTTTGTGAGATGACTCCTGGGGTGTCCTTTGACACACTTAATACCGGCGCCAATTTTGACCACTGTGAGACATTTTCGTTCAAAGAAGGCATTGTCTGCAAGCATACGACGTAAACAGACAGCAGGTGGCTCATTGAACCATGCTGGTATAAAACTAGCCCACGTCAAACTTAGAATGTTTTACCATGTGTGGTAAAAACAAATGCAATTGATGACTCAGCTATTGTAATAGAAACATGTATTTTCTCCTTGAACAGAACTAATTATCAATATATTCGGTATATGATTTCAAACATAGCAATAAATATACTTTTTCCCTCAATTCGAAAACTCTTCCTCTGGTTTAATTGCCATATCGTCATTATAATCGAATCGTCATGCTCCTTGACAGTGATTTTGTTACCTGTAAACATGCTAACCATGGCAATAACAGACCCTCGTGTCCATGGTTCTTTCAATGGGCGCTAAAAGCAGCAATTTAGAAGGTTCAGAAAGATTGAATTATACCAGGTTGAACCGGAACATAGTCCCTAAGTTACGAAAGCAATAAAATTAAAGCAAAAAAAAAAAACATGGTAGAGCAAAAATGACGTGAACATTACAGATTTTATATGAAAGACAATTACCAAGGGGTCGCAACAGATCACTCTGCGAGGTCATTGCCTACGTTACCCAGCAAAGAAATACCAATGTCATTGATATTAGAATTTAATAATTTAAAAAAGTACTACTTAATATATATTAAAAGAATGTACAAAAGACACACTAGAGAATATCACGTTTCAATGCAAATTTTAATTAGACACAGTAGAGCAAAAACTTGTAATAAAGACCCTATTCATTAAGAATACTTGAAACAAATTTCCCACAAGAAACTCTAAAAATGTTTGACGAGACACTTTGTCTTTAGAATTACTGACTATGTTGTTGTCAATATAAAAAATAATGGCATATAAAATTCATTACAACATCTGAATTTACAGCGGGGTGGTCTAGCTGACAGTCGCAATAACTGAAATCAAATCTAATTATCATTTAGTACCAGGCAGACCTGTTTCCCCGTGAGACAATGAGGGCCATTGAATTTGTGTTGAAAACTGCAATACTAGTCATACAGAGATAAAGATTATTAATAAGCATACCAAACAACCCACAAACCGAGTGTAAAAGAAAAACTGATGGTGTACTAATTGAGCATGATTGCTAAATATTTTATTTTAAGTAGCCAATATCAATCTTTCGCATTCAATTGAAAACAAAGAAACCCGTTATTAAAAGCCACAGTTGATAAAAGGCAAGGCATCGTTTTAGTGATAGTAATGACAGTGAACAGGCGTCTATCGGAAATGGCCAAGCCTTCATGGTGGACAGTTTTCATAATGATATGTTGCTGTTACACAGGTAAGGACATACACAACTGTGATTTACAGTCCGCACGTTGGCATTGCAATTAAATATTTGCTAAACCATATTTAACATGTAGTGTTTCCGAAATCAGTTTCAATGTAAGGCTTTGGGTTATGAATACGTGTTTAATAGTTATTTACAATAATTAATGCCTCGTCATTAAAAAGAAACACCAAAGTTTACATTGGTTTTGTTTTATATCGATATCTAATGCACCTAAAAAGAGAAATGAGACAATGGTGAATATTCTGATAATCTGATGGCGAAACTCTATTGACATCAAAGCTGCTATACAATAATCTTTTGATTGCTAAACAAACAAAGATATTCGCATTGCTAATTACAATAACTTGAACATTGTCAACTAAACATTAATCTTTTATTGTTAACCAAACAATACTCTGTTCATACCACAATTGTGAATTATATAGCCTTTTTAGTTTCAAAGAATCTGGTTGAAAAATATTGAAGGAGATATTTGACCGAGAGAAATGTGTTGAGAAAAAACGGTGGGTGGGGTTAGTTTAGGGTGTGGGGTAATAATCCGTTCCAAAATTGTTAATTAACAATACCATTGTATAGAAAGAACATTTTATGTAATGGTTATAAAGCGCCTAGTGTCTGAGAAATCGGTCAAAAAATCATGAAACCCGGACGAAATTTAAATGCTGAAAAAGCGCAATAATTTCTTCAAAGATAATTAAATCAAACTGCTGTGAAGATAGATTGGTCGATGTGAGTAAATGGTTCACAATTGACAGAGAAGATATCCGGACAATATTAACATCATCAAAACAAGGGACATTAACCGTTCCGGGTACAATTGAACTGCAGTTCAGGAAAATACAATTTTATGTCATACGGTTAAGTTTGCCAAGTTTGAGGGAAATCGGTTAAAAACTAAAAAAAAAAGGAGATCTCCGGACGATATTAACATTATGAAAACAACCAACTCTTCAAGATGTAATCAAAACAAATTGTCTTTAAAGAAAACGTTTGTCATGGAGATTTAGCCTACCAAGTCTGAAAAAGGAGACCTCCGGACAAAGAAAACTTAACGTAGGACGGACGCCATACCAATAAAAAATATGTGATACATCTGATAACAAATGCTGATTTGATGGATTGCATGTTTAGTTGACAATAAAGTAAATCATTTCGTCCTCACACTAGTGTGACTTATTAGTTTCGAGCATGTCTAATTATGTTAATTAATACAAAGATCAGCCTTTAAAACGACATAGCGATGATTGAACTTGTTAATATATAGTCGAAATTCGTTATCTCGAACTCGGGAGGAACCATGGGAAAACTTCGAGATAACCGAATATTCGACTTAAGCGAATTCGAATATTTCGTGTGACACAGAGACCGAAGAAATGCTTCGAATTCAAGGGGTCTTCGACATATACGAGTTCGGGATCTTGAGGATTCGATTATATGTCATTGTCTTTCTTCGCTTGCCGCGTACTGAACGTCTATTTTCCAGTCCTTCGACTATGGCATATTAGTATTTTATAAAGGATGTATGATATTTGCTATCAAGAGAAGACTTGACCTGACACACATATCTATAATTAGATAGATAAAGTTATTCATAAATTCATTAGGTATCGATTTAGACAGATGCACAATATTTTGTATCTGTGATTATTAGTTTTTTCAGTCAGTAGCTTTTCCAGCCGGGTCATTTCCAACGTTGCATTGAACAAACCAACTAGCCAGTCCTCGACCGTGCAAGCTTCTTCGCGAGCTGTAGACGGAAAGGTGAATCCTCCAACCTGTATGTCTACCTCAGAGACAGGATATCAATGGTGGCAGGTTGATCTAGGATCAGTCTACACGATAGCGAATGTGTCTATTCAAAACAATATTGGTAATGGTAAGTATAGATATGCTTTCACGGCTCAACCGCTGGAAAAGTGTAAATGTCGTTGTGGTCTGTAGTTTCATCAAAACTACTTTTTAACTAAACAATCATTCTTCTTTGAAACATACTGTGTAGTTGGTTATATTATGGAGGAATTTACGCAGTCAAAGAAAATAAAAATTAAATACTCAATGAACATGTTTACAGTCAATGAAAATCCCAAACATTATCTGCTATGCTTGTATATATGGAAACCAGTTCATAGACATGTGCGAAATCTCATACGGTACAACTGCGAAATATTAACCCAACGAAATTTAACAGCTATAAAGAACAAACGCTGTTTCGTTTGAGAATTGAATAATAACACATTTGAATTTTGCTTGTAGTTTATTTTTGTACGAATAAGTAGAGATGTTAGTAAGTTTCCGGAAAATACTTTATCACAGGATGTTTTGCAGAAATTAAAATGAATCCGATTCGAAAAAAAAGTATTGGATGCTTTCCAATAATAATAGTAATGTACATACATGTATCCCGATTATTGATAAAGGTGTTATACGCTGCCCAAAATATGTTTCTGAGACAGTAAAAGGCTCAAAGAATCAGTGATATTTCTTTTTGGAATATTTCAGCGTTTGCTATTTTATTACCAGGATCGCACGAATTTAGGTTGGCTTTCACCTTAGCTTATACTGCTACATGTTTATGTAAAGTGAATAACATCAAAACGGCTGTTAGTATGTATGGATGACAGGTTACACCGTGTGTAAACATGGCTCCTGAGTTACTGTCATATTGAATTTTCTGGAGTGCTACAATATTGATTTAGCTGACGAGAACCGCGGAATATTTTGCATTCATCTTCCTTAACTTTTTTAAAGATTAAATTATATACAATAACATCACTTTAATTGGTTGTTTAATGACCATTGTCGCTGGCCGATGTTGATGTACTAGTAACAAGGAATCTGTCATGTTATGAAAACTCGCATTATATTTTCCATTGTTCAAGCATCTGGGTTTGGCTGTCCTTGGCTATGTAAACAAGCATACATGTAAATAAGAAAATGTGATGCTACTTTTCGCGTGATTAAATATTCATTCCCTTTCCATTCTAATAAAACAGATGGGTAGAACTGCTGATTAATTGCAAATGTTTGCGTTCAATTAGTTATGCTCGGCGTAAAACGGAACGTTCGAATCAATTACAAATGCACCACTACTAGCAACGGGTAAGCCCAGCATTTACGAGGTAAAAAACTTCGCACGGAACTCGTCACTGGCGGATAATTCAGGGAGAAATGTTCCGTCATCGCGCACGGCTTGAATCGTTTTCTTCTAGTCTGACGGCCCATTTTGATGTTCACTCACGTCTTGCCAAACATTCTTGTACTAGAGACAAATCTTACTATTTAGATGGTCACTCTAACGTTATTCTGCTGACGCGACTGATGTGTGCTGGCGTTCTTTCCTGCTGGAATACTGCTCAAAACCACTACGCATCCGCCGCCAAAACGGTGCCATCCTGCGACGCAAATCGCTGTCTTTGTCGCATTTACAATCCGCACCTTCCGTCACCGCGTTGGAAACAACATCGCGAATTATCTGAAAACATGACATTTTTTCCATTAGCGTATGGACCAGCTACGATGAATTTGGCTCGAGTTAGGGTATCACAACAAAACTGGTATGGACACCACGCTTTCGATTGGTAGGTTTTTAACCTGTTGTGGACTGTTTGAACTGACGTACAAACCGTTATTGTGTATTTGTCGTTTATACCGTGGTCGTATTTCGGTGTTGGCCGCTTCGGGGAGGATCGCATGTTGGCCCTGTGTGACGTAAACGGCTTAACAACAGGTAAATTGTTTTAACACTGCAACAAAAATGCTGTGACTACCGACACCCAGACTCTCAAGACTGGACGATGCATTCGGCCTTTTCCTCCGCATTTGTGATAGTCGAGGCTTAATGGTAATATTGACAAATAACTAAGTTTGACGAAGTCCTGAGAAACTCTAAAGCAATGTAAAGTTTGACTCGTAGTCCAGCGTGCCATGCCGTGTCGAAGGCCTTGTTACCATCTCAAAAACTGACATACGTATTTTCACCATTCTCCAAGTTATACCTTACACACTCTTTGAGATTAAACGATGTATATAAACTGCATAATCCTTTCTGGTATGCCGATTGGTGTTTATTTGGAAACGAATCGGAGTCTAAAACTGAAAGTAATCTTTACAATAATAGCATTTCAAACACTTTCAAAGTAACTGGTAACAATGTTATGTCCCTACAAATATTCAGGTCCTCTTTTAGCTTATTATATACATTTCACATTTCGCACAATTTACTTTTTTTCATTTCTACATAAACAATGGCCATTTATATTAACTATGAATAGATAAAAGAAACTGTATGTTGTGTATATTTTAAGCAGTCATAGAAATTAGAAGAAAATTGATAACATAACTAGCATGATTTCGATATATAGGTTTATACCAAATAAAAAGTTTTATTAAATGAAGATAACTTCGCCTATTTTCGTTTTTAGGTAAACCTCTGGGATATATTACTGTAGAAACATCCGAAGACGGCGCTATTGACGGAAACGACCATCTCCTTGATGCGAGGCTGTGTAACGATTTCACAGAGTCCCGTCCTTACAGTGGTGAAGTTATCGTGGTTCCATGCTCAAATGGCGCAATCGGACGCTTCGTTAGAATATCCAAGACAGTCGAAAATTCCGATGACACTTTGACCTTCTGTGAAGTTGTTGTTGAAGGTAATTATTTATGCACCATAAAATCTACAAGATATACAGAAGTACGAGGAAACATTATTAGGTTTTTCAATGCCTTTTTTAATTTCCTTCCGATATTTTGAAATATTTTCTTCAGATATGTAAGTAAGTAGAATAGTTCCCATATCACCACTAGAGAGAAAATTATATAACGTTTCGATGAATCACATTCTTCTTCAACAACAGATTGACAGTTTTAAATGTGTTCGGACCGATATAACAAGTGTACGGGACGGTCATAACTAAACAGGACTTTTCGGACCGATATAACAAGTGTACGAGACGGTCATAAATAAACAGGACTTTTCGGACCGATACAAAAAGGTGTACGAGACGGTCACAAATCTTTCGGACAGGTACAAACAAGTGTACGAGACGGTCACAAATCGACAGGACTTCTCGGGTGTATGTGATAAGATGTCGACAAAATTATAATGACATGTCAAACTAGCACAACCGCGATATATTACATTGATCAGTACTAGTATTAATATTTTCATATTTTGTCCTAGTCTTTAGGGATAAATGCAACTTAGCCAATATAGCACTTCATAAAACGGCCATCCAATCATCCTTATACCAAGAAAACGGTGCATTACGGGCTGTGGATGGAAATTTGGATCCTGAATTAGGTGGGGAATCTTGCATGCACACCAGATTCGAAGACACAGGTCAGTGGTGGCAGGTAGACTTTGGAGGCCTCTACAGCGTCACTAAGGTTTCTATACAGAACAGATTCCGTTCAGGTAAGAAAATATTATCATATCACTGTTGTGTAATCACATTTAATGTCCATGTTCATGTCAATAGTATTACCCGTTAGTCTTGGTCTCAGCTGTGTTTGTAATTGTTAATATGTATGTCAAGCGTCTGGCTGTATAGAATGTTGTTGTAACAAGACATGGTGTGGTTTTTTGTATGTGACATGGTGTCAGAAGCGGGATAAAGTGAAATCATTGTCAAAAGATGGAACAGGACAAATACCCCAAAATGGACTGGTCATCAAACGACCTACCGACGGCATTCAAAGCATTCAAAACTCATTGTGAATTTACATTTGGTGGACCACTTGCTGGTAAGAATGAAGAACAAAAATGAAATTATCTAATGCTATGGGTTGGAGAAAAGGGAAGAAACATCTTCTCTACATGGAATGTAACCGCAGATGATAGAAAAAAGCTCGAAACGTACTTCAATGGCATTGAAAATTACTGTAAACCCAAGTCAAATATAATATTTGCACGGTATCGGCTGAAGTCCCGGGTTCAGTCTGAAGATGAACCGTTTGAACAATTCATGACAGATTTGAGAGTCTTATTTAAAGACTGTGGTTATGCTCCTGAGATGGAAGATGAAATCGTCCGTGATCACACAGTCTTCGGTGTCAAGTCAGCTAAAGTTCGAGAAAAACTTATAAATGAAGGTTCTGAACTGACACTACAGAAGTCAATGGATATAGCCAGGACACACGAAATATCACAGAAACAGCTGAAAAGTATGTTTAGTCAAGAGGACCCCAAGGTCCACATCGTTAAACAAACAACGAATAAGACGAGCAGAAATACACAAAGTACGAGACGGAGACATGAAAAAACTGAAGTGAAATGTAACAAGTGTAGGTATGAACACAAATTCAAAGGAGCAACATCTCCTGCATATGGTAAGAAGTGTAATCTGTGCAAAAAGATGAATTATTTTGCGAGCCAATGTCGTAGTGAGAAACCAAAGTACAACAAAAAGAACAGTAAAATGTTAGTACAGGTGGTGGAGAATTACCTCACAGATGGCAGTACAAGTGATGATAGAGAGACAGATTTGTATGTAGGAATGGTAAATGACTTGCCAGTAAACAGACTCAATGATGATTGGACTGTGTTGTATAGTGAATGTAAGGGTTATCTCCCCTTTCCGGTAATTGTTCTGTTAATTTCTCCTGTAGGCGTCTCCCTGCCAAGTTGGCGTCCTTAGTAATCGTGTTTGTTTGCAAAATGAATACAAAAATCGTATACACACACAAAGATATAATATTCTCTACGAGTCGGACATTACATAAAACACAACTACAAACACACTCTATTACTAGCGGGAGTACGGCTAAGGGAGAACTAGGGCGTTATGCCGTCGAATAATAACAATAGTTCCCTGGCAAAACTAAGGCCAACTTAACTAAGGGGGAACACGTTTCGCCATCATCCTCGCCCGTCCCACAATACGTTCCTATGCGCCCTAGTAACCTTCAGCCCAGCTCCCAGCGTCCGCGTTACCCCTTATGCCAATAACTTCCCGGCGTCCGCGCCAAACCCCTGTACTGTTCACTGTGGCAATCCCGGACGTCTGGCGAAGTGCGCTTTCCCCTTTGAGCTTTACAATTATTCAATAATATCTCACCATCAACAAGGCCTTCCTGCTTTGACTCCAGCGGAAGAGAGAAGGACCCTGATGTTCCAACAACCCGGCCTTATATACCCGTAATAAATAACCTAGCTAATAAGGTCGCACTCCCGTTCAACTTCACAGGTGTGCTACGCATGACTACATTTCTATAGGACTGTCACGTGCACGTGATTGGTCACTGAAAGTCGAACTTATACCCCTTGACAATGATACGATAGAATAGGAATTAACGAATACAGGTAACGCTTGTAACAAACTAAGGAGCACTTGCTTTACATAATATACCGAAATCATGTTAATAAGTATCAATTGATAATAAGTTATTTTACAGTTGCATTAAATCACAAAATGTTACATGAACAACAAAATGCTGAGTCAAGTGATGTGAACAAACCCTGAAGTCATTACAGGTGAAAACCTCACTAGAGACATCTGAAGCCATGCTGAGGTCGTATAGTGGTCATGCAATTAAATCAATTGGACGCATTAACAACATTGCAATCTGTGGTAGAAGAGAGCGCTATGGCAAAAGAAGTCAAATCCCTTAAAGAACACCAACACACGCCCATGGAACAGAGGAGGGCGTAAATGTTATTGGCATAATTGTGCTGCGGCGAATCAGGACACTACAAACGTGATTTGAATACAGCTATCGAGAGAGGCAGAATGCGCGCGCCGAAAATAACGCCAGGCGAGCTAATATTGGAGCAGGGTACCATCAAATGGAGGCACCCGGTTTTTCAGTCAGTAATGTCAAACATGTGGACGATGGCCACGGCGGATGTTTTAGTCAACGGAATAAAAGCTACGATCTAAAAGGGCAAAGCTTATAACCTCAAATTAAGTTGATACAGGTGCCACTTTGACGCTTCTTTCGCATGATGTATATCAAGGGATTTCTGAAAATGACCACTAAGGCAACTCCTGGGAAAGGACACATCGGGAATGGAGAGCCCAACAGAAAAAAAAGTTTCAATAAATTGAAGCTGATGGTAACCAAGGCACCAGTGTTGACATACTTTGACACAAACAAACCGATTGTAATGACAGTGGATAGTAGCTCAAAAGGAATGGGTGCAGCAATCATACAGGACAGTAAACCTATTGCATATGCATCAAGGGTACTAACTCCTACTCAGGAACGCTACTCACAGATAGAGAAAGAGACTCTCGCAATAGTGTACGGATGCACAAAATTCCACCAATACCTTTATGGGAGGAAAGTTCAAGTGGAATCTGACCACAAACCGTTACAGAGCATATTTAAGAAGTCTATGTATCAAGTACCTGCTCGTCTTCAGAAACTGTTGCTCACACTCCAAAAGTATGACCTGGAGGTGACCTATAAACCAGGCAAATTGTTATATGTAGCTGACACACTGTCAAGGGCATTCCTAGAGGAAACAGAGGAAACTTTAGTAGAGGATCTTGCTGTCAATGAACTCTATTTGTTGGCATATTTAGCGGTTTCATCAGAAAAGTACAAAACTATCAAAGAAGGTACAGAGAATGACCTAGAGATGTCAAGGCTGAAATAACAAATAATGACTGGTTGGCCGGAAACCAAACAGGAAGTTGATCAACAAATTCAGACATACTGGAATTATCTCAACGAAATTGCCTGCATTGATGGATTGATGTTCAAAGGACACAAACTGATCATTCCAAAGTCTCTGCGACCAGAAATGCTTGACCGGATACATGAGGCGCACCTTGGTATGGTCAAATGTAAGGCACGTGCAAGGGAAGTACTATTTTGGCCAGGAATGAGTACTGATATAGAGAAGGTTGCCACATGCAACATTTGTGCTAGACACACAAACAGCAACGCAAAGGAACCACTTATACCCCACGACATACCAAACCGACCATGGGCTAAAGTGGCAATGGATCTATTTGAACTTATGGGTCAACATTACCTGCTTAGTGTAGACTATTTTTCAAAGTGGCCTGAAATCTCATAATTACAAGGACTGACAAGCAGCTCTATCATTAACCATGTAAAGAGCCAGTTTTCCAAATATGGAATTCCAGACCAAGTCATAAGTGGCAACGGACCACAGTTTGCGAGTCCAGAATTTACCAAATTCTCAAAAGACTACGGTTTTCAACACACTACCATGAGTCCACATTACCCCTCATCAAATGGCCAAGTGGAAAGAATGGTAGAGACAGTAAAGGGACTACTGAAGAAGGCAAATGACCCATACCTAGCAATACTCGATTATCGAAACTCACCGATCGATGGAATTGACCTTTCACCTGCACAAATGTTCTTGGGAAGGCAACTTAAGACCACCCTACCAACAGCAACCCCATTGTTGAAACCACGATTGTCAGACGAGATTCAGGACAGTTTAAAGTTAAGACAATTTTGACAAAGAAGTTATTTTAATAGACATGCAACAAAAGGTCTCAAACCATTACAAGAGAATGACACTGTCATGATGAAAACAGGTAATGAAAGAACATGGACGCACAGCACTGTAGTTGATAAACACCAGACACCTAGATCCAATGTAGTACAGACATCAGATGGAAAGAAATACAGAAGGAACAGGAAGCATCTCAAAGTAACAAAGTCCTTACCTACACTGGATGATGAGGATATAAAGCTGGAGATCACAAGTCCTGCAGTTCTAAGTCCAACAATACACTCCGAGGTTGACCTAAAGCACAACCTGCATGTGTACCAACTGTCAGTTGGTTCCAGTGAATATTAACATATACAAAGCTTAAACAGTTATAGTTCTAGTCAAAACAATATTTAGTTGTGATTTCCTGGCAGGATGTGTTCCAAGTGTTCTGTGACATGTTCCAATACGCGTTCTATTATTATATGTTCTTTGATCTATTCTTTGGTTTCTTAATGTTATACTACTCATTGACGAAGTTCAAGAACATTGTGATTAAGAATTACAACCATTGTATTGCTTTTATAAAAAGACTTTTGATCTGAGAACTGTGCTAAATGATAAGAAATAACAAACACTTGATATGGTAAATAAAACTCATTTTATTATTAGTGTTATAGTGTTAAAGATCTTTCAGTTAAAAAAAAAAAAGAAGAGAGATGTCGTGTAATCACATTTAATGTCCATGTTCATGTCAATAGTGTTACCCGTTAGTCTTTGTCTCATCTGTGTTTGTAATTGTTGATATGTATGTCAAGCGTCTGGCTGAATAGAATGTTGTTGTAACAAGACATGGTGTGGTTCTTTGTATGTGACAATCACCACTGTTATTTCCTTTTTATTGAACACAAAATACTTTTTGAAAAAAATGAGAAAAAAAAAATTCAAAAGGGATTGAGGGGGGGGGGGGGGGGGGGGGAACCAAGAACTACTTGGGAGTTTTGAATTTGTAATTATGGGGGTGACCAAGAATCGACTTGGGAGTCTCAAATTTTAAACTTATGGGGGTGGGGGGACCAAGAACTACTTGGGAGTCTCGAATTTATAACTTATGAGTGGGGAAGGGACCAAGAACTACTTGGGAGTTTTGAATTTGTAGTTATGGGGGGGGACCAAGAACTACTTGGGAGTCTCGAATTTATAACTAATGAGGGTGACCAAGAATTACTTGGGAGTCTCGAATTTATAACTGATGGGGTTGGGGGAGGGGAACCAAGAACTACTTTTGAGTCTCGAATTTATAACTTATGGGAGGGGGTGAGGAGGGGAACCAAGAACTACTTGGGAGTCTCGAATTTATAACTAATGGGAGGGGGTGGGGGAGAGGAGGGGAACCAAGAACTACTTGGGAGTCTCAAATTTATAACTTATGGGAGTGGGGTGAGGAGGGGAACCAAGAACTACTTGAGAGTCTCGAATTCAAAACTTATGGGTATGGGGGATTGGAACCAAGAACTATTTGGGAGTCTCAAATTTATAACTAATGCGGAGGACCAAGAACTACTTGGGAGTCTCGAATTTATAACTTATGGGGTGGGGGGTGGGGGGGGGGGAGAGGAGGGGAACCAGGAACTACTTTTGAGTCTCAAATTTAAAACTTATGGGAGGGGGGTGAGGAGGGGAACCATGAACTACTTGGGAGTTTTGACTTTGTAGTTATGGGGGGGACCAAGAAGTACTTGGGAGTCTCGAATTTATAACTTATTGGGGGGACCAAGACCTACTTGGGAGTCTCAAATTTATAACTTATGGGAGGGGGGTGAGGAGGGGAACCAAGAACTACTTGGGAGTCTCGAATTTATAACTTATTGGGGGAACCAAGACCTACTTGGGATGGGGGAGAGGAGGGGAACCAAGAACTACTTGGGAGTCTCAAATTTAAAACTTATAGGAGGGGGGGACCATGAACTACTTGGGAGTCTTGAATTGAAAACTTATGGGCGGGGGGAACCAAGAACTACTTGGGAGTCTCAAATTTATAACTTATGTTAGTAGTAAAAATAACAGAATTTTATATACACTCGTGTTCAATCATGAGAAATGGAGGACAATATAGAAACGATATGTAAAATATCAACAATCTTCAAAGGTGTCTTCATGCAGAACAAACTATAGTCCGAGATGAGATCGGAAGGGATCACATATTACAAAAGGAACCATGCCAGCTGGTCTCATTAAACATCATCCGGTGATGATGTGGATGGCCTTCAGACAAATTTGGAGACAAAAATAAATATAAAAAAAATGAAAAAACAAATGGGGAAAAAACGGAAAATTAGTTGAGATGTGACATTTCTTAAATTAAACAACAAACAGGGTGTTTGAATTTGATGGATTTCTTGATTAAAAATATTTCAAACATTTTAATACAAATCAAGTGATTTCTTTTAATTTGGTTTAACAGCAGACCGTCTGAGTGACTTTGTAGTGGAAATCTCTGAATCAAATGCCACGGGAGCAGACGGACATCTTGAAAACAGCAGACTGTGTTATAAGTACACCGAAGCTCATGTACCCTCGTCGGAACTGAGGAGCCTGACCTGTTACAATGACACCATCGGACGCTATCTCAGGATTACCAAGTATTCCGACATGTTGCACGCTTGTGAAGTCATTGTAGAAGGTTAGTACATACACGACTGAATATGAGGTATTTGTACAGGTATCAATTAAGGTGTTATATATCGAGAATACAGGCAGAATTTGAAAACCGTTAAAAATTTTGAGATATTTGTCAACACAATTCTTTGTAATGTGATTGATAGTAAATGCACTGTAACACTTATTTGTAAAAATGAGCTGTTCGAAATACATATACCTTGATCATTTCAATAAGGAGAGACTGATTTATTAAAAAAATGTTTACAACAATAATGCTGAAATTATTGGTATTCCACATGTATTTCAGGAGTTATTTTCGTTTTTTCTATGTTTTTCGTTGTTATATTTACGCTACTTTAAGAAAATGATAATCGTCATTTATTGGACGCTTTACTCACTGATGGAACAGCTCCAAGTCTAATGAAATGGCAAAATATCTTATTCCAGTTTAGCGGTAAATGTTGTCAGACTTGACGTTTACTGACTGTAAACGTCGATTTTGCTTGTTAGACCAAATAATGTATTCACACCGGAAATGTAAATATATAGTTTTAATAACATGTGTCTGGTGTCTCATTACTACAGGTAAACCAGTTGCATGTCTCGACAATGCCTGTCTAAACATCCCTACAATTAGACAAGGTGATGGTCAAACTTTACAGGATATAATAAATTCGTGGAAACATCAGTTGTCAGGAACAGGAACTAGGTGTAACTTCCGGCGCAAATGGATCAGTGAGAGAAATGCAAAAACAGCTGGATGGTATTGGTTTGCCGAAATGCAGTAATCACAGAATACCTAACAAACTCGACATGCCTCAAGGATAACAATGTACCACACGGCCACAAGGATAACAATGCACCACACGGTCACAAGGATAACAATGCACCACACGGCCACAAGGATAACAATGTACCACACAGTCACAAGGATAACAATGTACCACACAGCCACAAGGATAACAATGTACCACACAGTCACAAGGATAACAATGTACCACACAGTCACAAGGATAACAATGTACCACACAGTCACAAGGATAACAATGTACCACATGGCCAGAAGGATAACAATGTACCACACTTCCACAATGATAACAATGTACCACACAGCCACAAGGATAACAATGTACCACACAGTCACAAGGATAACAATGTACCACACGGCCACAAGGATAACAATGTACCACACGGTCACAAGGATAACAATGTACCACACGGCCACAAGGATAACAATGTACCACACGGCCACAAGGATAACAATGTACCACACGGTCACAAGGATAACAATGTACCACACAGCCACCAGGATAACAATGTACCACACAGCCACAAGGATAACAATGTACCACACAGACACAAGGATAACAATGTACCACAAAGCCACAAGGATAACAATGTACCACACAGATAACAATGTACCACACAGGATAACAATGTACCACACAGTCACAAGGATAACAATGTACCACACAGTCACAAGGATAACAATGTACCACACAGTCACAAGGATAACAATGTACCACACAGTCACAAGGATAACAATGTACCACACAGCCACAAGGATAACAATGTACCACACAGCCACAAGGATAACAATGTACCACACAGTCACAAGGATAACAATGTACCACACAGTCACAGATAACAATGTACCACACAGCCACAAGGATAACAATGTACCACACAGTCACAAGGATAACAATGTACCACACAGCCACAAGGATAACAATGTACCACACAGGATAACAATGTACACACGGTACCACAAGGATAACAATGTACCACACAGTCACAAGGATAACAATGTACCACACAGTCACAAGGATAACAATGTACCACACAGTCACAAGGATAACAATGTACCACACAGTGGATAACCCAGCCACAAGGATAACAATGTACCACACTTCCACAATGATAACAATGTACCACACAGCCACAAGGATAACAATGTACCACACAGTCATAAGGATAACAATGTACCATACGGCCACAAGGATAACAATGTACCACACAGTCACAAGGATAACAATGTACCACACGGTCACAAGGATAACAATGTACCACACAGCCACCAGGATAACAATGTACCACACAGCCACAAGGATAACAATGTACCATATGGCCACAAGGATAACAATGTACCACACGGCCACAAAGATAACAATGTACCACACGACCACAAAGATAACAATGTACCACACAGTCACAAGGATAACAATGTACCACACAGTCACAAGGATAACAATGTACCACACAGTCACAAGGATAACAATGTACCACACAGTCACAAGGATAACAATGGATAACAATGTACCACACTGTCACAAGGATAACAATGTACCACACAGTCACAAGGATAACAATGTACCACACAGTCACAAGGATAACAATGTACCACACAGTCACAAGGATAACAATGTACCACACAGTCACAAGGATAACAATGTACCACACAGTCACAAGGATAACAATGTACCACACAGTCACAAAGATAACAATGTACCACACAGTCACAAGGATAACAATGTACCACACAGTCACAAGATAACAATGTACCACACAGTCACAAGGATAACAATGTACCACACAGCCACAAGGATAACAATGTACCACACAGTCACAAAGATAACAATGTACCACACAGCCACAAAGATAACAATGTACCACACAGTCACAAGGATAACAATGTACCACACAGTCAATGTACCACAACGATAACAATGTACCACACAGTCACAAGGATAACAATGTACCACACAGTCACAAGGATAACAATGTACCACACAGTCACAAGGATAACAATGTACCACACGGCCACCAGGATAACAATGTACCACACTTCCACAAGGATAACAATGTACCACACAGTCACAAGGATAACAATGTACCACATGGCCACAAAGATAACAATGTACCACACAGTCACAAGGATAACAATGTACCACACAGTCACAAGGATAACAATGTACCACACAGTCACAAGGATAACAATGTACCACACAGTCACAAGGATAACAATGTACCACACAGTCACAAGGATAACAATGTACCACACAGTCACAAGGATAACAATGTACCACACGACCACAAAGATAACAATGTACCACACAGCCACAAAGATAACAATGTACCACACAGTCACAAGGATAACAATGTACCACACAGTCACAAGGATAACAATGTACCACACAGTCACAAGGATAACAATGTACCACACAGTCACAAGGATAACAATGTACCACACAGTCACAAGGATAACAATGTACCACACAGTCACAAGGATAACAATGTACCACACAGTCACAAGGATAACAATGTACCACACAGTCACAAGGATAACAATGTACCACACAGTCACAAGGATAACAATGTACCACACAGTCACAAGGATAACAATGTACCACACAGTCACAAGGATAACAATGTACCACACAGTCACAAGGATAACAATGTACCACACAGTCACAAGGATAACAATGTACCACACAGTCACAAGGATAACAATGTACCACATGGCCACAAAGATAACAATGTACCACACAGTCACAAGGATAACAATGTACCGCACGGCCACAAGGATAACAATGTACCACACAGCCACAAGGATAACAATGTACCACACAGTCACAAGGATAACAATGTACCGCACGGCCACAAGGATAACAATGTACCACACAGCCACAAGGATAACAATGTACCGCACGGCCACAAGGATAACAATGTACAACACAGTCACAAGGATAACAATGTACCACACAGTCACAAGGATAACAATGTACCACACAGTCACAAGGATAACAATGTACCACACAGTCACAAGGATAACAATGTACCACACAGTCACAAGGATAACAATGTACCACACAGTCACAAGGATAACAATGTACCACACAGTCACAAGGATAACAATGTACCACACAGTCACAAGGATAACAATGTACCACACAGTCACAAGGATAACAATGTACCACACAGTCACAAGGATAACAATGTACCACATGGCCACAAAGATAACAATGTACCACACAGTCACAAGGATAACAATGTACCACACAGTCACAAGGATAACAATGTACCACACAGTCACAAGGATAACAATGTACCACACAGTCACAAGGATAACAATGTACCACACAAGTAACAATGTACACACAGTCACAAGGGATAACAATGTACCACACAGTCACAAGGATAACAATGTACCACACAGTCACAAGGATAACAATGTACCACACAGTCACAAGGATAACAATGTACCACACAGGGATAACAATGTACACACAGTCACAAGGATAACAATGTACCACACAGTCACAAGGATAACAATGTACCACACAGGGATAACAATGTACCACACAGTCACAAGGATAACAATGTACCACACAGTCACAAGGATAACAATGTACCACACAGTCACAAGGATAACAATGTACCACACAGTCACAAGGATAACAATGTACCACATGGCCACAAGGATAACAATGTACCACACAGTCACAAGGATAACAATGTACCACACGGCCACAAGGATAACAATGTACCACACAGTCACAAGGATAAAGGATAACAATGTACCACACAGTCACAAGGATAACAATGTACCACACAGTCACAAGGATAACAATGTACCACACAGTCACAAGGATAACAATGTACCACACAGTCACAAGGATAACAATGTACCACACAGTCACAAAGATAACAATGTACCACACAGTCACAAGGATAACAATGTACCACACAGTCACAAGGATAACAATGTACCACACAGGATAACAATGTACCACACAGTCACAAGGATAACAATGTACCACACAGTCACAAGGATAACAATGTACCACACAGTCACAAGGATAACAATGTACCACATGGCCACAGGGATAACAATGTACCACACAGTCACAAGGATAACAATGTACCACACAGTCACAAGGATAACAATGTACCACATGGCCACAAGGATAACAATGTACCACATGGCCACAAGGATAACAATGTACCACACAGTCACAAGGATAACAATGTACCACACAGTCACAAGGATAACAATGTACCACACAGTCACAAGGATAACAATGTACCACACAGTCACAAGGATAACAATGTACCACACAGTCACAAGGATAACAATGTACCACACGGCCACAAGGATAACAATGTATCATACGGTCACAAGGATAATAATTCACCACACGGCCACAAGGATAACAATGTATCAGATGGCCACAAGGATAACAATGTACCACACAGTCACAAGGATAACAATGTACCACACGGCCATAAGGATAACAATGTACCACATAGCCACAAGGATAATAATTCACCACACGACCACTAGGGTTACATTTTACCAGATAGTCACACAAGGATTCCACTGTAGCACACCACCCACTATACAAGGACGATACCGAAGCACACATCCTCAAAGACATTAATGTACCACACAGCCACAAGGATTACACTATACCGGAAAGCCACACAAGGATTCCACTGTAGCACACCACCCACCATACAAGGACTACACTGTAGCACTCCACCGACCATACAAGGACTACACTGTAGCACACCACCCACCATACAAGGACTACACTGTAGCACACCACCCACCATACAAGGACGACACTGAAGCACACCACCCACCATACAAGGACGACACTGTAGCACACATCCTTAAGGATTACACTCTTCCACATGGCCACAATGGTTACATATCAATGTGTTACATCATTAGTGTAACAATGTGCCAAATCTTTATCATTACACTGTGACACATGATTAGTAT